GTGTGTGTGTGTGTGTGTGTGTGTGTGTGTGTGCGCGCGCGCGCGCGCGCGCGTGTGTACACATTCTTTATTATCTAATATTGTATAATATCTAAAATTACATGTCACACAATACATTTGAGAGATAAGAGCTGTCTGATGTATTAATAATTAATTAATTATTATAATTATAGTGTGCGTTTGAATTTTATTTTAAATCATTAATTTAAAATTAACGCAGAATGTGATATTTAAAATGTGATATTGACGATATTTTTATCGATATCGTTGTGATACGAAAATTCTGCTCCTTGACATCGTTATAAGATCATATATATATTCATATTGATTACCAAGCACGCGTTTGCAAATATTTATCTGTTCGCAGGAAATATGATAAACGTCACGATGCATCAACAGTGATTATCCGGAAAATCATTTTTAATTTTGATTCAATTTCACGTTCACTATTCACGTAACAAAAGAATTCTACGAATACGAATTTCCAATACGATCAATTATAAAAAGTGCTAAATTTGAGAAAATATCGATATCATATTTTGTGCACTTGTGCTTTCACCCCTCACTCATTGCTACTAATACATTATATGAGATAATAAATAATAAATATAGAAATTTTGTATTTGTGGTATACGTTACCAATATAAATCTCTGTATTTATTACAATGACACGTACTGTTACCGCAATAATTAATTTAATTGCCGCAAACCCAGATCTAAAGTTCAGATCTTTTATACATTCGATATGATATAACATTTATATACATATGTATATATAATATGTATAGTTCTCTGCTCTCTATAATATGTATAGCTTTCTATTATTTGTTTGTACATCTAGGATAATATTTATTTTATCACATATGTATAATTATATACATATAATCTTACTTCTTTATTCTTTGAATTATTATTTGCGTTCAATGTAATCATCATACGTGCCATATCGATTTATCCGACGGAAGTAACCTGCAGCAATTTAATCCTACTATTTTAAGATACATGCGGCTTTGAGAGAATCATGAACTGAATCGCTAAAATTTTTGTAAATTGATCGATATTTTCCGAAAGAAGAAGAAATGAAACCATCAAGTGGACATTTATAATTATATAGCGGATTATCGAGAAATATCGATTACATTCTCTGAGGAAAACGACTGTTGGGTTAATATATTTTTTTTTCTAAACTATTCAAGTAGCACAGCGCCTACAAAGCATTAAGAAATCTCTAAAAAAAAGTATATATAAGCGCTTTTTTAGCGCTTTATAGAGACGCTGCTGTGTTATTTGTAGACGATATAAAATTATTAAAACGAGATTTAATACTAAATTGCTGTACGATTAACGTAAATCATATAGCCAGCTTTTATTGTATACGAAAATTTCATTTTTAATTAACTGTTGATTAATTTATACTACTAATTATCTCCAAAGTTATATGTATATACATATAGATACATCGATTCCGTGACGCGAATCGGTTCATTAATAGAAAAGAAAGACAGTGTAAATCTAAGATAGTGATTCCAAGGACGGTATTCATAGTTCGTTCTTAATTTAAGACTATCTTATAAATAATATTTTAAGATACTAATACGACCCTCTATTTCATGACATTTTAAGACTGTACTTAAGACTTAAATATAACATCCAACTATGAAAAATATCGGCCTAAATGCAGATTTTAATTATTACAGTGAGAACCACATATTAAGAGTATTAAGGAATAGATATCTTATCGGAACAGTGATGTGATAATAATGTGATAATTTAGGGAAACAAATAAAGATCACAATAACAACGATCAAGTACTTTTATTAATTATTCATCAGCTATCAAGTATATTTATAATACGACACGAGATTACGCAGACTTGGCTGACTTGACGAAATTAAATCTCTCACAAATTTATCCAAGATGTTACGCACACTAGTAATTTGCAGGAATAATTTAATATTCTTAATTTTCTGGTTGTGGTGTCGTGGCCTGCTGCAACTGATTGCTCAGGCTTTGCGAAGCCTGCACGGCGATGTCGATTGCTTGTTTAGTAAATTTGGCGATACCTTCTTGAACCTTGCTGGAATTTTCGCTGATGGTCTTAGCGGTGTTCTCTGATTCTGACACAAGAGTCTGAACACCCTCTTGGAACTTGGCACTCAGCTGATTCATCTGCTCCGTTGTCTCAGGATTGACGTTTAAATTGTTGAACGTTTCAGACAGCTTGTTCTTCATACTTATCCAAACGCTCTCCAATTCAGGACTCTTAGCCTTGATCTGCGAAACGATCGATCATGTGTGCGAACAGCCAAGAATGTTTTTTCTCAAGTTTTAAAAAAAACACAGAATTTTTCTCAAAAAAATTCACAGTACAATATCGAAAGATGTATGCGAAATATTGTATAATTAAATGTACGCAGATGTAAAAACAAGATACAAATTAAGGCATGGTGCGCAAACTGCATTAAAATTTATCTCAATTATTGAAATAATATAGCGCACAATATTTAATTTTTGTAACAATATTTTATTTTTAGCAACACTTATTTAATAGAAAATACGTAACCAAAAAAAATTGAGATAACATTATTATGTAGTATCGAATCATTCAATTTTAAGCGCGCACGATGTTTCTCAAGTATATAAGCTATTAAATACAACATTCTTGACAAGAAAAGGTATATATATGAAGAGCAGACTTCCAAAATGCATTTTGTTCAAAATTTCATTTTTTTAGTTAAAGAAGGCATAATATTTAATGTTGCGAGACTCATATCTTAAGCTACTCTACGATGTTCTAAAAGCATTTATACATCATCAATTTATGTGTTGAAAAAAATCTTGATATTCAAAGTGCATTATGTCCTTTAACTAAAGACGAACAAAATGTACTTGTTTAACATTTTTAGCAACTGTTTAGCAATTTTGTTGAACATTTCACATTTTATATTATTATTGGCAAATTATTATTTTCTGTAAAGCGCGCAAAGAGAGTTTCCTTGGCCTTCTTTTTCATTTTTTGAAAATTAAATTTTGGACAAAACGCATTTTGAAAGACTGCTCCTTATATATACATTTAGGATCAGTAAATTTTTCTATTGTCTAAGTACAGAAATAAAACGTGTCAGTGTAATAATAAAGTTAAATTACTTGTAATTGTTTATGTTTTTGATACACACAGACAGGTTATAATAACATATACGGTGAGAACAAAAAGTATTCGTACAAGGAAATTTTTTGTAAAAAAAGTCTTATTTGTAAAAAATAAACATTAATTAGCAATTTTATGAGTATATTTTAATTAGCAATAAATATATTTGGTTCTAACATAAACAAACGAGCATTCCTGATTTTAGAAGCTTCTCAATTTTAGAAATTTCTCGCCTGTACGAATACTTTTTGAGCATCCAAACAATAAAATTTTCGTTTATCTTTCAGATGATATATTTTCGATAATTAATGTGTATCTTTTTGGTATATATAATTTTAAGAAACATACAATCTATATTATTCTTTATGAATAAATTGTTAATTACCCAATAAGAAATGATCGTCAGTTAATCGTCGAATCGATATCGAATTGGTGTTGAAATCGTATTGATTTGACATTAATTCGATGACTCATTTCTCGCTGGATAATATTTACTTTTAAAAAATAAAGTTTTTTTAAAAAATATTTTCTCTGTACGAATACTTTTTGCACTCATTGTATATTAAATAAGATTATAATTTTTTGTTATATTATATGTAACGCATCGATACAAACGATACTTCGAATCGTTGTATGTACATAAATTGCACTGTAAATTTTCTCATTTTTGATTTCGATATGGATCGCGATTATCTCTTTTGCTTATTCACATCGATTGTCTCTTTGAGGATCAATTTAAAAGAATAGATTAATAAGTTAGTCGGCTTTTCTCTTGCCAATTTGTTCAGAGAGTAAACAATCCTCTATCTCTACACTCTACGTGAAAAATTAGCCGGTGCGGCGATGTTTTTTTATCTCTAATTTCGAAAATATACGTCTTATATACTCTAGGTCTCTAGATAGTAAGAATATAGCGCGCCGATACTGCGAACAAATAAGTCAGCCTTTAATCTTCATATAGAAGATTACATTTAAAAGAACGAGTTGTAACATACTAAACGAATAATTTCTAAAATTGTAATATCGAAATACAAAATGCATTTTAACAATCGCTTGAACATTTGCTTAGTCGAGTTGCAATAAAATACATTTAATGTACCAAGTATGTAAAAAAAATATGTGTGTGTGTGTGTGTGTGTGTGTGTGTGTGTGTGTGTGTGTGTGTGTGTGTGTGTAAATGTGTAATAAATAATAAAAATTCGAGTTTACCTCATCAGACATGTTCTTGAAGAACATCTGGACATTACTAACTAAGTTGGTGGTTCCCTCCTGGATAGCTGTATTGAAATCCTTTTGATTGGGATTTAGCTGCTGTTGAAGTTGAGCGCCCAAGTTGTTGATGAGATTTTGGGCCTCTCTGATGTGGTCGGACAATTGAAGAGGTTGCGTGTCAGTCTGCTGATTCTCGACATCACTAGTTGGTACAACCTTGCTCTCTGTTGTGACCAAGAGGACGGCTAAGATAAGCGAATGTAAGTATCTCATTTCACGTTGGTATTTTCTCCTTGGTCGATTAGGAAACAACTGATGCGTAGGATGGAGGATTATACTCCCTTTTATAGGCGTTTCTTATCGAAGAGGGCAAAGTGCTTATTATCTCACTTTGACGACAACGACCTACGTTTCTCTCGCTGCATAGAAGGCATATACTTATATATACTTATTTGAATCTGCGCTTGCTTTAAGATGCTTGGCATTTCCAGAAACAGTATTTGTTTCAAATACTTATATAAAGCTCATTTTTTAATTTTGTTCCTAAAATGTTGCTCGACTAATACAAATAATGATAAATAGATAAAAGAAACGAAGCTTATTGCTATTTACAACTCAAGTTTTACGTGATTATTTTATATTGTATTATATTCATTATTATTATAATATTATATTGAATATTATTTCTTTATGGCAATTATAATTTTTATTCTAAAATTATTTTTAATGACGTTGTCTTTAAAAAAATAATAGGTTGATCTCTTTAATAAATCTTTTCTGCAGAGAAATTTGATATACATACGTTGACTCTAATAATTTAATGTACATACGTACGTATAAAATTTTTTGTCAAAATTTGAATTGATTAATAAACACCTAACTTAAAAAAGTTTTAAATTTCTTTTCGTAATGTGTAAACACACACACACACACACACACACACACACACACACACACACACAATTGTGTGTGTACGTGTTTTACTTAGTTGGAACAAACTGTTATTATACGTTTAGCAAGGATTTTATATTTATTAAAAAAAATTAAAATTAATTATAATTAGTAATTCTTTATTAAATGCGCACGATAGTTAATTCTTCATTTACAATTGTTGTTATAAAGCTTATAATACTTAATTCTTTGCAAATATTTTGTTAAAATCTTTTCATAACACTTTAATATCAAATATTTATTATTTCTTCTTAAGAGAGAGAGATGGAATAATTGAGAAATACTTGCTCAATTTGTGATTTTAATATTAAGTTGATACCTTTAACTTAAGTTTAACTGTTTTTCAAAAATCACGGTAATTCATCATTCTCTGATTGTATTTCCAAGTCAAGCTAAATCTTATATAC